TCAGAATCTTTTATATTTATGGCTTGAGTCTTAACTTTATCGAGGGTTAAAAAAAATAATAATAAATAAATAAATAAAAATAACACAAATAGTTTGTAATGCCTGAATGGCATTGTATAATTATCATAAGAATTTCTCTCTTAATATTGTGGATAACCGTAAGCTAAGGCATAAGGTCACTTAAATTAACGTTAAAATAGATGGATAATTAAAATAAAAAGAAATCATGATAACTCTTTGGAATGGCTTTTGAAATATTTGTCACCGTCAAAATTTCCAACACAAGAATGCCTCACTTAAATAAATAAATAAATAAATAAATAATGTAATTTACGAGTCGATGAGCTTTGGACTCTGCCAAAATAAAAGCCAAAATCAACATTGAAGTTGGGAATGAAGAATTCAATTTTGTCGTAATATTTTTTTGGTCTTCCAAAATGTTACAAACCTGACGAGAACTATACACGAAGATTACTCCTCTGACGAAAAATCTCTAAAACTTGCTACCACTATACAAGAATGTATAATAATGCAACCGCAATTTTACTCTTGTAAACTACTTTCAAATTCAACACACATTATCCCGAATTTTTATTTCTCTAACTTAATGATCATCATCAACAATCCTACTTCCAACTAGAATTGAACAAAACTCCCGAACGGAACTCATTGAATCGGGCTCAAGCGAACTGAATCGAGCTATTTTTTTAAGTTAAATACTCGAATGGATATTTGAATCAAGAACTGACACATTTGATTCGATTCTTGGTTTTAGATCAAAAACCAAATCTCCCTAAATTTTTTAGTTCATTTATTTTAAATAATTCAAACTATTTTATTTTTTACTAAATAAATTTGCTAACTAGTTAATTTAGCTCAAATCCAAAATTATGATTTTCCTATTTCTAATTTTTAGTTCAAGTCAACTTAATCAAATTGACTTAAATTTTATCCAAATTTGTTATTCTACCATAATGTCATTTCTATCGCTCTAAAGAAATTGAATTAAAGTTTGGCAACACCTCTCTTAATTATTGTGAGTTCGTTATTTTCTTATTACTGTAATTTTAACAATCAAATCTATGAAAAATTCAACAAAAAGAAACTCAAAAAGATTCGACTACATTATTTTGTAAAAGTTAAGATGAACGTGTCATTACTTGAATTAATTTAGTTTTGTAAATTATTTTTTTAAAAAATTAATTATAATACAAAATCTGAGAATCGAATCGAACTAAATCAAATAAAACAAATTCGAACGGTTCATAATTAAATTTAAACAAGACGATTCCACTTACTAAATATTTGAAAATTTCGAATCCAGTTCGATTCTCGATTCTCGTTAGCATCAAATCGAACCGAATCATATCCTGCACTACTTCCAACCCCACATCTCATATAGATTTTAGAGTCAAAAAGAGAAATAAGTGTGTTTGGGACAAACTCATTGCATAATTAAAGTACCGGACCCTAGGGAAATAAACGGAATTGGGTTCTTTCATGGTCCCCTCCTAGTATCATTCATGGGCATTTAATTTCCTCTTATCAAAACTACATCCCAATTTATACTAATTACTTTCAACTGTACTTCCAGGTCCAGAACGAAAAATAAATAAAAAAATTCTGCTCTATCTTTATCTATGAGCTCTTGAATGGCTGTTGTTAGATAAGACTTGAAACTTCTGGACCGATAAGTTGTAATATGATTTTCAAGCGAAGCAATAATAAGTGGCCAACATTAAAAGCACATTCCAAATTTAAATAATAAGTGTTACGCCTCGCCACACATGGCTTCACATAACAAACCCACCAAGGCCCATTGGTCAATTATTGGACTAGTCGACCCACTCAAATCGGAGAACTTCATCCACCGAAACTATCTAAATAAATGACGAAGCCCTGAACCTATGTCCTCTGTCGAAGTAAAGATACTGAGGTGAAGAGGTCAACAAAGTCAAAATCAATCCACAACAAGTAATGACCCGCAAGAGAAGATCTTGAATTTATGTATAAAATCCTTTTGAAATGATTGATGAGACCCTCGTAATGAGAAAAATGTCTTGTCTTTTTTTTGTTAGTTTAGACAATATGGTGACTGCTCTTTATAAGAGCATTAAATTTGCCACCAGCTAAGAAGTTCAAATTGATACTTGCGATTGTATGCTTAGACTAAGGGGATGAGGCCACATGTATATTCAAATCCAAAGCATTGTTGATTGGCAACCTGTTCATTCGTGTTGAAATTGCTTGTGTACATGAATGGGCTCGGTATTTGTTATCCACGTCACTCTAACAGAAAATGAGGTTAACTATACATGGACTTGAGAGATCACTGTTACACCTCGTCACACGTGGCTCCACATGACAAGCCCATAGAGGCCCATTTGTAAATTATTGGACTAGCTGATCCACTCAAATCTAAGAACACGTCCACCGCAATCGTTTACATGAATGACGAAGCCCTGAAGATCTACCGAAGTAAAGATACTAAGGTGAAGAAGATCAACGAAGTCAAAATTGACCCATGGCAAGTAATGACTCACAAGAAAAGATCCTAAATTTATGTATGAAATCTCTTAGAAATAATTGATGGGACCTTTGTGATGAGTAAAATGTCTTGTTTTGTTAGTATAGACAATAGGGTGGCTACTCTTTGGAAGAGCATTAAATGCGCCAAAAGTTAGGAAGTTCAAATTGATGCTTAGGATTGTATACTTACATTAAAGACATGAGGCCACGTATATATTAATCAAATGGACGGCATTTCATTTGTAATATTACAAATACACCCTCTATGTATCATTTGAAGAATAATGCAACTCAATACACTTAAGATTACTCTTTGTCTTCTCTTACTAATTATGAGCCTATTTGGGAGTGATCTTTCATCACAAAAATTGATTTTTTAACCGTTATTTCATTATTCCAGCATCATTTTTGACCTCTTCTCTCACAGGTGGCTCTCACTTTTCTTCTAACGGTCAAAAAATCAATTCTCAAAATTACTACCAAACAGGCCCTATATATTTACTTTGCTAGAGTTTAGATTACTTTACTTTCTTTGAATTGTTTGCGATTGAATATTATTAAACAATCGTTCCCAAAGTATTATTGACTAACAACCTGTCCATACGTGTTGGAAGCTTCTTGTGTACATAAGTGAGCTCGATATCTGTTGTCTGTGTCATCGTAACAAGAAACGAAGTTAGCTATACATGGATTTGGGGACTATTGTTACGTCTCGCCACACGTAACTCCACATGGCATGCCCATAGAGGTCCACTAGTCAATTATTGGACTAGCCAACCTACTCAAATCGGAGAACCACATCCACTGAGGTCGTTTGCACGAATGAAGCCTTGAAGCTAAGTCCTTTGTCGAAGTAAAGATACTGAGATGAAGAAGGTCTAACAAAGTAGATACTAATTCATAGCAAGTAACGACCCACAAGAGAAGATCTTGAATTTGTGTATGAAATCCTTTTGAAATGATTGATTTGATCTTTGTAATGAGTAAAATGTCTTATTTTGTCAATTTAGACGATAGCATGGTAGCTCTTTGTAAGAGCATTAAATGCGCCATAGGTTAGGGAGTTGAAATTCATGCCCGTGATTGTATGCTTCACCTAAGGAGATGAGGCCACATGTTTATTCATCCAATGGATATCATTTCATTTATAATACTATAAATACCCTCTCCATGTATCATTTGAAAAATAATGCAACTCAATGAACTTAGACTACTATTTGTCTTCGCTCTTGCTTATTATACATTTATTTTGCTAGAATTTAGATTACTTTGCTTTCTTTGAATTATGTGCGATTGTTTATTATTAAACAATCGTTCCCAAAATATATTGTCGGTGGCTGAACATATTTGTATCATGTTATAAACTTTTTCTCATGTCCAAATTCGAAGTTTTGTTGATTAGCAAGTTGTCCATACACGTTGAAAATTGTTTGTGTACACGAGTGTGTCCGATATCTATTGTCCGCATCACCCTAATAGAAAACAAGGTCAACAATGAATGTGTTTCTTCTAGAGGTGTAAATCGTTGTATATATTTCATCCGGATAATAAAGGCATCCAAGGAGATAGAAAATAAGAGAATTGATTCATTAAAATTCAATAACCGCAGTCGGTTTGTTGTGGCATTGATTGATGCACCTTAATTGTCAGTCTGACTACAAAGAAAGAGATTCATTTATGGCCCCAAACTATGCAACTACAGTTAAGCTGCTTTATTAGTCAGTCAGCGTGTTGTTGGGTTCATTATAGAGCTAATTGTTTCAATAATGACTAAGCTTAGGTAGGCTTCTTTGATTGTTCATTACATTTTAAGATGTCGAAATGACGGACGTTACTAACTTGAATCGCCTCCGTTCTGCATCTTTAACGCAATAGTTGATCTATCTTTAGTGCAATAGTTGATCTGGCAGAAGATTTCATAGTTGGCCTCCGTCATCGTTAGATGCTCAATCAAGAAATAAGCATAGTAAAAATGGTGGAAAACCCAATTCCCACCGTTTATTTTTTTTATTTATTTTTTATTTTCAGCAATGGAAAGAAATTATATCCACAATTGTAAAAAAATTATCTCTTTAACTGACAATTTTCGAAAAAAAACAAAACCAAACAAATACTAAAAGATCCAAAATTTTAATATTTTTTCAATGAAAAATTATATCAATCAAATACTTTTAATTAAAAATTCCCAATAAAACATGTTCAAAGCAATCAATTTTTTGAAATTTGTTTTCTTTCCCTCCAAATTCCATAATTATAATCAAAGGGACCCCAAGTGGCCCGGAGCCGGCCTTATTGAAAAATCGAAAGACATAAGAAGACAGAGATTCCTTGCCCTTTCTTTTACTCTTCCATTGACAGACAGCTTGGCCCATTTCCCACTTATAGCCTCCCTACCTTATTCCCAAATAAGCACTTAATTTATCATAAATTCAAAGAAGCTATCTGATCTAAGAAAATTAAAACAAAACAAAAAAGGAAATTATGGACTATACTGTGTTTCAAATTGCTGAGTTAATTAGATCATAAATGGAAATTCCAAATCACCAAAAAGAGTACATCAATTTTTAAAATGGAAAAGAAAACTGACTCAAGAATCTGCAATACCTGCTACTCTCGGTGAGGTGACCGGAAATAATGGTAATAGTCGCGGCTCCGAATCCCTCGGAGTATTCGCCGGCGATGGGTGCAAGTAAAATCCCTTTTCTTTAATTGCCCTGTCTTCTGCTGCCGTGCACAAATTGTTATCATTCACTCCAACGTTCGGTGACCGATTGAACAGGTCGGGTATCAGAGGCGTAACCGGGCTGAGCACCAGAGATGGGAAGTCAAGAATACTGGGAGACAGAACTTCTGCAGTTCCCATCCGGGGCGAACCCGAATACCCAGACAATAATCTGGGTTTTGTGTTGACCAGACCAGGTCCAAGAGGGCTGATCTTAAAGTCCTTGAGACCGTTTCTTCGCTCGTACAGCCTGGAGGTTGACTTATCCTTCTTCAGCCCAGTCTTCATGGGAGGAATCGGGTTCTTCACCGGCTCAGGTCGAGAGGAGTGGCGGACGGTCTCGGTCGAACCAGTGAGCATTTGAACCACTTGCTTAAACGAGGAAGTGTCCGCCTGGACAAAGGTGGTCGGATGCGGGCTGTTTAATTCCGATCTGGTTATGGGTGGTGAAGACGGCTGTGAAGCCGGCGGTGATGGATGGTGGAGGCCATTGATGTGGGTTGTGCTACTGCTAAAACTGTTCGAACTATGACTGTTTGGGGATGGAACTACAAATGGGCTTTGGTTTTCTGGTAATTTAGGAGAATTCTCCATCTCTCAGACTGAGTGGGGGAAGAATATTAAGAAAAATCAAGGACTGCTTAGAAGTAAGAGAAACGAGAGTTCATTTATGCATCATTTTGTAACATTGTTTGGCTTGTCAAAAAATGTTTCGTTGTGAACTGTGAGTCAAATCTCAAATCTCACGCAGGTTGTAAGAGCGTAAATTCACTTGCTAAAATTAGTATTGGACTAAATACTAATTACATGCGAAGGATAATATTCTCCATCATCATCACTGATACTAAGCCCCGTTTGTTTTTTATTTTTGAAAGAATGAGAATGAAAAATATAATTGTTACGAGTCCCACACAAGAGATAAAAATTCAAATTTGATCGTTTGATGTGATGGATAACGTTCATATTTTTCATTTTAATAAAAAAAGAATAAGAACCAAACAGGGCATAAGTACCAATATAAATGACAATTATATGATTTTAAGTTTTTATTTGAGTTATATTAAAATTAAATTGTGGGAAAAATGTTTTTCGAATAGTGATTATTTTTTATTTTTTTGGAGAATATGTAGTTCAAAAAAAAAAAGATTTACGTGTAATATTATTTTATTAGAGAATGAATGATTAAAAATAAGAAAGGTTAGTATATTAAGAAAAGGGACCAAACAGGGGTTGAATGATAAGTTCGTTTAAATACAAAAACACGTAACTCATTTAGTTCAACTTACAAAGTGTAGTTACTTAAACTGATGTTCTTGAACCATTGATATTTAACTCTTGTTTGTTTTTCATTATTTTCTCATTAAAATGAAAAACTTAATCGTTACTCATCACATCAAGCCATCATATTTGAATTTCTATCTTTTACGTGAAATTTGTAACGACTATATTTTTCATTCTCATTTTTACATAAATGGAAAGCAAACGAGTCTAAATAGCATTATTCTAAATGAAGACACGCTCTAAAGGGTGAGAGTGGAGGTTTGTTGGACAAATAGTCTTGCTGAAAACATACTATTGGTTGTGCTTGGAATTTCGGAGGAATAAGGTGGGACCATATAAATAAGAAATATTCAAACAAGTTTCAATATTTTACATTGACTAAACGGGCCCCTTAATATAAGACTATGCTAAGTTTAATAATGGGTCTTGGTGGGGCACTTTCCTTTTCATTATTTTATTTTTGAGTTCTCAAGAAACATTCTTAATTAATTTTTTTTAATGATATTGGTATTACCTAGTCGACCTCGCCACATAATATAAAACTAATTACGACTGTTCTGGTTGAATATAATGTTGTATTATTGCGAAGACTTTTAGGAGGAAGGAATACCAAATCAACACTAAAATATACACACATTGAACCAATTTTTGTTTAATATTGGCTACTTTTCAAATTAAAATAATCAAATTTGGGTTTCCGATAAGGAAGAAATCAAAGAAAGGAAAATACTTTATTTTTCTTCTCTCTTTGAAAGTTTGAAAGAAGGGGTGCTTCGGCTCGAAGTTGGAATTCAATAGTTTACCAAAGAAGCTCCCTACGGTGTCCCTAGTTCCAATGTTCTTTACATCACTTTTGGAATAGGAAAGTTTACTCTGCACCCTTACTATAATATTAATTTACATATTTCTAGAATTGATACGAGCAATTACAGAAAATAATCTTGTAATTCTATTGTAGTTTCTGAATCCATTAATAAGAATTTTTAAATTAAGTTTTAACTCTTTTTAATATTTTTTCCTTTCATGAAACTACAAAATTCCTAATTTTTTCCACGTCCATAAATATGTATAAAACTAATCCACTGAAAAAACTGAATTGTCACCATTGAATCAAAATAGGGGGCGAAATAATTAAGTTCGTCGAAAAAATTCTAGTAGATAAAATTTATACCTTATGCTTAAATTCTTTCCCCTCTCCACATTTCTCATATTAAAAGTAATAAAATAATTTTTTTTTATTTTTTATTTTTTGACAATTTTTGCTTGTCTGCTAATTTCATAATTTATTTTTATAATAATAATTTTATCATCCAATTAGGATCAATTTTATGGACAAAAAATTTATTAACCCATTTTACATGTTAAAAATCAATAAAAATTGTGGTAATTGAACAACGACCGAGCTACATAGTCCACAGGGGTGACCGTATAGTTGATGTAATACACACACACAGGTGTAGGAATTATTTTATTCATGGAAAACACACGTCGGCCATGTGAGGGTACGGTCATCCAAAGTGTCAACTGTGCGGGTTGTTTGGCTTTTTCCATAAAGCAATGAATTTGTCTACAGTTCGGCAAAATTATTGAGTGTGGCCCATAACCAAGAATACGTTTTAAGCATATTAAAGCAAATTATTCCATTAAAAAGCCGAATTGTGTAAAATAATAAATTCTATGCTTCTCTTAATGCGTATAAAAAACATTATAGCACAAGTCACGAAATATTGGTCGTTCATTGTGCTTTAGATGACATACCATTTTCTTTTCAAAAAGCATCGTTTTCTTTTCTTGTCCGAAAGTTGAACCCTTTGCTTTGAAGAGTTGAAAAAGGGGTGGGAAAAAAAGATTAATTTAGTAAAGTTGATTCGATGGCTGAGGAAACGCGTTAATTTCACTATGCCGATCAATTTGAAGTAATATATGATGCACTAATTTGAGGTGACACTTGACAATACCTATAAGATATGATGTGTTGACACCAAAAATTTATTAGGTTCGAGTTAAGAAGAGAGCACGAATTCAATTGTGTCATGTCAGAATTAATTTAAGTAATAAGCTCATATGATCACACTTTATCAAAGATAATTATTAATTATTTTCGAGTTCATACAAAAAGTTTTACTTAGGGTTGGGCAAATCTCCCAAACCGAACCGGCCGAATCGAATCCGAACCGAACTGAATCGAACCCGACAATTCTTGTCAAATTAAATACTCGAACGGGTATTTGAATTGAGAACCGACGGACACGGTTCGGTTCTCGGTTCTAGACCAAGAACCGAAAAACCGAATAAAAATCGAATATTTCTATTTTTTTTATATTGAGTAAATCAAATTATTTTAATTTTAATTTTTTCTAAACAAATTAACAAATCAACAATTTCTAAATCCAAATTTTTGGCCTAATAATTTGTTTCATTTCTAATTTTTTAATTTTTGACCCAATTATCCATTTTATCGTTTCATTTTTTACTCTAACAAGATCCAATCCACTAAATAACCATAAACACCTACACTAACGTGCATAACATTGTCTCGACTCTCGTACTTACTCTCGCAACCTCGCTAACATTCCAAAACTTATACAATTGTCGGCCGACGCTATGACCTCCGAATCTCCGATCGAAACTGTGACCTCCGTCGACCGAAACTTTGATCGTAGCGATCATTTGAATAAAGTAGCCTATTAGTCTCTGACATTCCAAAACCATTGAATATATTATTAGTTGTATTTATATAATGTTATTATAAATGTTAAAAAATTTAATTATAGTACAGAACCAAATCGAATCGAACTGAACCTAACCCGAACAGTTCCATAATTATATTTGGACCCGACGGTTCCATTTACTAGATACCCGAAGATTTTGGTTCGATTAGGGTCTTTTTAGAACCGAGCCGAACTGACCCGCGCCCACCCCTAATCTTACCTCAAACTAAAGGTAAAACATGTATAAAAATGATAGGAGTATAGATATGATACCTAGCTTGACAATTAAATACGAATATTTGGCAGTGGGATTTACATGGTTCAACGCTAAGCATAGGACTCATACCAAAAGATTCTATCTCGACCATGAAAAAAACTCGAGAGGCAATATTAAAACCACGATGTTCTCTTAAGTCTTAACCAATTTTCTAAAATAAATATGCGAACTAAAATGCTCCCATATTCCCGCATATGCTATGGAATTTTAGAAACGCCTTTGCATATGGGATATGCGCGTAATAATGCGATCAACCTATTTTGTTGATTACATATGTATGCTTAAACGTCAAAAATATGCATGCATTTATGTTAAAAATTGTGTCAAAATTAGCCCCACAAAGTCCACTCGGGGAGGCGGGGGGTGGGAGAATTGGGAATTGAGGCCAACAAACATCAAATTAGTTCAAATACAAAGCCCATGAATTATATACAGCAATTTATAGGATTATAAAGTTTAGAAAACTTAAAAATTAAAATAATTTTTTCCCTAGAATTGCAAACTATCTATATCGAGCTCAAGTCTCAGTCTTCATCAGTCTCCTCTAGTTTTACTAGTGAAGGATGATAGTCATGCACAATTTTGAATTGTTATGATAATGAGGAGGTTAAAACAAGAGAATCCGATAAAAAATGATTTTGCGTTGGATGATCTTGCATTGCTCGACCTCATGGTACTTGCCATACTTGGAATTTTGTACATGACAACCGTCAACTACAAAAATATATAATGATAAATTGCCCATTGTTGGTGAGCCCTCTGGAATACTCACTATCCATAGAAATACCTTTCAATCTTTCATTCAAAATATAAACAAAAATATAACGTAAACCCGAATGCTATCAAAGACGTACATTTCTTCCATGGCGCGGTGTATGGACTCTCACAAAAGGCTAAAGAGTGAATTATAACACGTTTTTTGCACTCTAGAATCTTGATTATAATTAACTTTTAAATTAGGACTTATCAATAAGGAGTTTTAAGTAATTAAAATTGAAATAAAAGTGCACTAGATTATATTCCATTGTGAAAGAAAATTACACAACTCCATTAATAATCACACACATTCTGCGCGCGAAGGGATATTCAGATAATTATTTTTATTTCTTAAATTTAATAAGCTACAAATATGTTGATTGGAATTGCAATGAAAAAGAAAAATTCTGATCAACTTCTTTGATTCATCGTTCACTCTCATCTATCAAAAGAAAAACTAACAACCTAAAGGCTTCGTTTGCCTCAGATCAAACGGATGATTTTCTCCCTGGCTAGGGAGCTGAGCTTACCTTGCCCCCTATTAGGATCGTTTTGAAAATCAATATAAACATCGATATATTAAGTTTTGACATTAATACCATAATTAATACATTATAAATAGTAAGTGGCGAAAACAGTGAGAAAGATGAAACCTAAACTTGAAATCAACCAAAATCAAAATAAGAAAATGAAATCTCGCACTAGTCAAAGCCAAACGA